GCTTATTAGCTCAAGTTTAGCTAAAGGTTTCTGGGCAGAAGCAGTTAGTACAGCTGCATACTTGATTAATAGGTCTCCATCAAGTTCTATGAATTTTAAAACTCCACAGGAACTTTGGATAGGAAGACCACCAAATCTAACACACATAATGGTATTTGGATGTGCAGCTTATGCACATCAGTCTGAGGGAAAATTAGAGCCAAGAGCTACCAAATGTCTGATGTTAGGCTATCCTGAAGGTGTTAAAGGGTACAGGTTATGGGTTTTGGGTAAACCAGGCATAAAAATCATTAATAGTAGAGATGTAGTTTTCAATGAGTCTGAAATGCCATGCCTAAAACAGAAAAATGATAAACCAACAGAACCTGGAAATGAAAATAGTGCTAAGACTGAGGTGAAGTTAACTAGATTTAATTCACTCCAACCTGAAGAAGGTGAACTTGAAATTCCCTTAACACAACAGGAACATGAACCTGAACCTATTGAATTGAATGAACCTCAAGCTGAAAATGAAACTGAAAATACTGATCCCTCAAGTGAAATTACTTCAATCCAAGATTACCAACTTACAAGGGATAGAGAAAGAAGGGAAAGAAGACCTAACCCAAGATATGAGTCTCAGAACTTAACTGATTTTGCCTTGGTGTCTGGTGAAACTATTGAACAAACTGAACCTGCTTCTTTTGAAGAAGCTATAAGTGGTCCAAAATTAGTTTTGTGGAAAAAGGCAATGGAAGAAGAGATGCAATCTCTAATGGAAAATAAAACATGGAAGTTGGTTAATAAGCCTAAGGATCATAGGATAGTGCAATGTAAATGGATTTACAAACTCAAAGAAGGGAATAATCCTAATGATCCTCCTAGGTATAAAGCCAGATTAGTGGCTAAGGGGTTTACACAAAAGGAAGGGGTTGACTACAATGAGATATTCTCCCCCGTGGTCAAATATAAAACAATTAGATTGATATTTGCCCTAGTTGTTCAGCACAATTGGGAACTAGAACAACTTGACGTTAAAACTGCCTTCCTACATGGGGAATTGGAAGAGGATATATATATGTATCAGCCTCAAGGCTTTGAGGTGAAGGGCAAAGCTAATTGTGTGTGTAAACTGGAAAAATCCTTGTATGGGCTCAAACAAAGCCCAAGACAATGGTACAAACGTTTTGGTTCTTATGTACTAAAAATAGGTTTTAAAAGAAGTGATTATGATGCTTGTTTGTACTATAATAATTCTAAGAGGGGACATGAGGTGTACTTACTGTTGTATGTGGATGACATGCTACTAAGTGGCTCAAGTAAATCTGAAATCACTACAATCAAAAACCTTTTAAAATCAGAGTTTGACATGAAAGATTTGGGGAGTACTAAGAAGATTCTAGGGATGATTATAAGGAGAGATAGGCTTAAAAATAAATTGGTTGTTTCACAGGAAGCCTATCTAAATAAAGTTGTAACCAAGTTTGGAATGAAAGAATCCAAGTCAACTAGTGTCCCTTTAGCAGCCCACATGAACCTTTCTAGTGCCCATTCTCCTAAGACTGAGGAAGAACGGAGAGAGATGGAGAACATACCCTATGCTAATGCCATAGGTTCCATTATGTTCTCTATGATAACTACAAGACCTGACTTGGCTTATGCAATTAGTTTTCTAAGTAGATTTATGTCCAATCCCGGTAAACCACATTGGGCAGGTTTAAAATGGTTGTTAAGATACATAGTTGGTACTTTAAATCTAGGCCTTGTGTATGAGAAAAGGACTGAAAAACTGACCTTAAAAGGGTATGTGGATTCGGACTTCGCTGGTGACAAAGATAACAGAAAATCAACCACAGCCTACTTTTTTACACTAGGAGACAATTGCATAACATGGAAGTCTCAACTACAGTCTATAGTAACATTATCCAGTACCGAAGCTGAATATGTTGCCATTACTGAAGCTGTAAAAGAATGTTTATGGTTAAAAGAAATTTTGAATGAATTGAACTTCTTGTATGATACTCCCACCATTTTCACAGACAGTCAAAGTGCACTATTACTAAGTAAGAACCCTGTCTATCATGAAAGGTCAAAACATATCGAGGTGAAGTATCATTTTATTAGAGATAAAATCTCTAGGACAAGATAAGACTTTTCACCGTGAAAAGGAGAACATTTCTATATGCGCATAATGTTGAAAATTTGATATCCAATGTAAGGATTCAAAATTTAATAGTAAATATATGTTACTATTGAAAGTGTAGTTTTTTTTTTTCAATAACTCTTGAGAAGAAAGAAATTCGAGTTTCTCATAGATTTAGAAGGAAATATGATCAGGCTTCAAAAACTTTCAAAAGATTTCCTAACTGGTGACAATTTGTGCCTGCTCTATCATTTGATCGAGGCTTGCTACAATGAAAATGGTACAGAATGTCATGTATAATGTTAAGTCTCGATATATACATTGTACACATTATACTATTCAACAATTACTCTCAAATGGTTCTATATCAATTGATTTTGTTAATCCGAAGAATAAACTATCATATCTGTTTACAAATGAATTATTTAGAGAGTGAATAAATCACACATCGAGAAAAATGGGGGTACAACCTAAACTAATGGGGCAATTTAATAGAAACCAAACGTGACGATTGAAAATCTCATGTTGTAGTTTTAATAGGAAAATTAGTTATGACTGACTTGATGAGAATCATTTTCAAGTTTTAAATCCTCCCCATTTTTATGATGCAAAAAAAGTGCTGCCTACAAAATATTGGTTATGATAAATTATACTTTTAGCGATGACTATATCTTGTGAATAATACGAGTAGAGTATTGTAGGACATTCTTTATAGACATTATCTATGTGAGTTCGAACTTGATTGATTCTATAAGAATTTTATGTAGTCGAATTCTCTAGCACACTTACAAAATCAAGACGACTTAGGTTGAAATAATGAACACAATAGAGAATTAAAATTTGATATGAAATATAATGTATTCGATTTATTGTCTAGGTTTACAATAATGACCGACAATTCAAAACATTGCGTTTATTGATTAGCCAAGTGAGTCTCATAGATTCTTACTAAGGAAGGTTCAAAGTGAAAGCTACCGATTCTAATGCAATATATTTTAGTTGTACTCTTCTTTGTCTTCCTCGTTCTAAGTTGACTTTTTTCATTCATTGGGGGTTCTTGGAATTTTTGGGATATTTATAGGTGTGAATTGGAAAAGTCTCAACATTTGGTGCGATGATTAATTATGACTCTTCAATTACAAATGGCGCATATCAAAGAGTATGGTGTTTTAAAATAGGTATGACTTTTTGGTAAGGTGTAATCTATACCATTAAATATGAAATTGTGCAATCTAATAGTTAAAGTTAATTTTAGATACAATCGTTAAGAAGAGAGACATGAAATTTATAAATAGAATCCTTCTAAAAAGAAGGTATTAGCAACAACTGGTTTTATTACAGGACAGCTCATGATGTTCATATCGATCTATTATGCGTCTACGCATCTAGCATTAGGTAGACTTCATACAATAAATGCCCTAGTTCTACCATATCTTTTATTTCATTTCTTTTGGAATAATTACAAACACTTTTTTGATTATGGATCTACTACAAAAATTCAATGCATAATTTCAACATTCCATGTGTATTCTTGAATAGTCTCATTTTTCAATTAGGTGTAATGATTCATCATGACTGCAATTATAGATGGTGCATATCAAAGAGTTATATCGTTTTAAAATAGGTGTGACATTTTGATAAGGTGTAATCTATATTTTTAAATATGAAATGGTGCGATCTAATGGTTAAAGTTAATTTTGCCAATAGATGTAGTTGTTAGGAAGAGACACATGAAAATCTATAAATAGAATCCTCCAAATTTTATTTTTCACTCCAAATCAATTTCAAATATTAATTGATTTCTAATTCTTTCTTTCTTCAAATTCTGGTAAAATAATTTTCAAAATATCTTTGACTTTCGTGTTCAATATTTAGTATTCGATAGCTTTCATTCTAGAAAAGTACAATCAAGCGTTGGTTGGCTTGCCAAAATTAATATCGTGCTATATTAAAAAAAAGGTTGAACCTCAACCTTGAGGCCCCCACCGCCTCGCCCCTGGAGCATTTCGAGGGAGGTAAATGACGGGATGTGCCCTAATAGGCTAGAGAACAAGAGCTTACCCATATACTGGTGTCCACAAGGAGTCTAATTCCATATTTCAGAAATCAAACTCTCACACTACGGCTGTCAACAAGGTTGAGACTGCCCCACTCCTATTCTTTACACCACTGAGTTATGCCCCGAGGGGGCAATATCGTGCTATATTAATCTTGGAAGAAGTCTTGTTTCTTTGGAGTCGGATGTCAATTTGATCGTGTTAGCACTCGTACAGGGGACAAAATCTGTAAGGAAATTTTTATTCACATACCTCACTCTATTTCACCTCCTTCTAATTTTTACATTTTCTACATTTGAATAAGTCGTGATTTTCTCATTATTATGCAAGTATCATGATTTCGATAAGTCATTACTTTATTCGTATTTGCATGAACGCTTTTTTTAAAGAATATAATTTATGTACTAATTTATCCAACATTTGCTACTTATAATAACTTAATAAATAAATTGATAGTTAATTTTTTATTAATAAAAAATAAAAATGCTTTTATTAATTACAATCATCATTTACAACAGCTATAAATATAATTGTCTACTACAAACGACAATTTGCTTCATTTCTTCATGCATTTAGCGGACACTGGACTTTAATTCGCATTATAATAAATTATAGATTTACTCCTTCATTGAGATGCCTGAAATTTCTTGTTATCTTTTATTTTCCTCAAACATCATTAATCTTTTTGTCGGCCAATTCAAAATAAATACTTCCTTAGTTCTGAAGATTTATATGTTTTTATCCTATGAACTTACATAATACATTCTTTTTATTCTTTCTTGATATGGGAAATCGGGAAGATTTGAAAATTATATTACAGATATCGACACTACATTGTATACAAATTTGTTATTACTTACATAATCTGTTACAACTTGACTACATGACCAAAAAGGGAGTCAATTGGAGAACTTCCTGGAAATATAAAAATCATATGAAAAGTAAAGCACAAAGTAGGTATAGACGTAATAAGGTATATAATTTGTATTTGTTCTCGATTTATTTCTTTGGTTTGTAGCTTTCCAGTGCTCAAAGGAAATGGATTTGAATCCTTAATGCTTTGATTCGCGTATTTTCTTCACTGAAGCTTCAAATTTTTCAGCCTGCCAACAGAGAAAATAAAAAGAAAAAATTCATCTGATGTTAAAAATCTCAAAAATTTCATCTTATTAATGCACTTACATATATATTTAGCCATTATATCTTTAGCAATATTGCAATATTTGAATGTCACGAGTTTCTAGCATCATATGGATTTCATAAAGAAGCAAAAATTATGGATTTATAGTTTTCACAGAGTGAGAGAGACACATGTATTTGTGTGATTTCCCACCTTTGTTCCTCAAACGTGATTTTGTATCCTTTGGCCGTATCTGCATTTGAGGGGTAATTGGGCAAAGGAATTTGTCCAGACTCGATGTGGTTGACATCTTCAACAAGTTTCTCATAGTGGCGCTTCACCTCCTCCGCCGTCTTGCCGCCGCCAACGGCGTTGGCTATATTCTGCCACCGATCTGGGCTGTCCTTGTCGTATGTAACCAGTGCATTCTCAAACAGCTTGTTTTGCTTGGCCGTCCATGTCGAGTTCGACCCCATTTCAGTGAATATAATTGAATCTCTTGCAAAGTGGAAGTGTGATTGCTTTTGCAATGTGTGAGTGTTGTGGGTGGCTGCTGGCTGCTCTTCCTCTATATATAACATTTTTGAGGATAGAAATATGCTGAATTTAGTGGGCCGGCGCATGGGGGTTGCTTTTCGCGTGGTTTGGCTTTTTTTGACTTGCAAATCAAGGGATTTGTTAAAAGAATGGGGTTTGTTTTTGTCCCTTTACTTTTAAATGTGTTTTTAAGCGTCAAATACTTTGGTAACGTTGCAAAATCTACGAATGAGTTGTGATTAAACATGAAATGCTACTCACGTTTGATGAGAAAGACTGTGATAGTATTAATGAAGATAATTAATTGTGTTCAATATTGTATACCGAAAATAGTACTTACCATAGGATGGGCACATGTTAGGTTGGGTGAAATTTCACCCTTAAAATCGAAGTGACAAGATGAATTAATAGACTAACCGGGTTGAAGGGGATTTTTTCCTTGATACCAATTTGAATAGATTCGATTTGTCGGGTTGAAGGGGATTTTCCTTGACACCAATTTTTTCAAATACGACCCCTCAAACCGCCATCTCCTCAAACCGACTTGATTAGTTTGATTTGGCGGCTTGGGATGGATAATATGCCTTCCCCTACATACCAATCCAGAGTGATGTAGAGAAGCGGGTCCAAAGTGAATTAAGATGATAAAATATAACAAGGATTAAACTAGTTGAACAGACTCAATGATAGCGGTTATTTACTGAGGTTGAAATGACAGTTTTTGATTGACAGACTTTTATTTTTCATTTTTATTCTTTTAACTGCAGACGTGCCAAAAAGTATATCTGTATAAAACCTTGTCAATGAGCCTGTTTCAGTAACAGATCTCATCTAGCAAAACCTCACAAGCAGAATGTAGTCACCTTATCAATTTTCAGCATTTTTACAGAGAGTGACTATATGAATGGAATAAAAAAAGCACCTTTCAAGCCAGGAAGTTTTCCATCTTTAATTCTTTAGGGCCGACCTAAACGTGATAGAATGCACTTTATGCATTTGTTTTCCTGCGTGCTGAACAAGGATCCAATTCATGTTTAGCTGTCTAGATGAAGTCCGTACTATAGATGTACATGCACTTTACCAATTAGATCTGTGTCCCCTACTTGTCTTTTCATTACTTTGCATGTAGATATTCTGCTCCTAATTTACATTATCTCCAATATTTAATCTTTTTACTCATGGGGGTGTAGTTTTATATTGGGTCACGTGCTTCCGCTTGAAAAACTAATTCAATTTTCTTGAAGCAATTCTTATTCTTGTCCTAACAAGATTGAATGCAATCGTAGCATAACATTTGTTAAGTATAAATGAAATAATAAACAATACATAAGAATTTGGATACGTTGCTGCTTTTAAGAGACAACTTCAAGACTATTTGAAATTCAAACAAAGAGTTAGATTTCAAGATTTATGTTCTAATAATTTTTTTATTGATTTCATGAATCTTCAGCAACACGTTATGTCATAAATATTAGTGTACCCGTGTCCATCTTCTTACTCGTTAACTGAAATTGCCTTACTCTAATGAGTGTTTATCCTCAAGTTTATGCGAAACATGTGCATATCCCTCTTCCCGCTGCTAAAGCAAATTTAATATTTTTCAATAATTTTCCATAATAGTATCGAATTAATTCGAAGTTGTCTTGCTAAAGGAAGTCGTAGATTATATTGAACTGGCTATTTTCCCGCAGAGTTTTCTTAAACTTTTAAATGATTGTGATACAAGTTTTCTGAAACATTTAAAATAAAGCCTAATTACACTGTCTTCTTTATGCATTTCGCATTAGTGGACCTGCATTATCCAATGCTTTATCAATTTAATCATAGCAGATTCATCATCAATTTACCAAGAAAAAGGGAAAAATGCATGAAATGAAAGCTTGTGAATTAAGAAAGTTTTTGTATACTTTACTTCCAATTGAATGTATATATAGTATAATCAAGGGGCTTCTCTGGGAAGAGAAAATTACTCTTAAACAACCATTATTGCAAGAAATTGATTCATTAGGATGCCTAAAAAAAAAAACAATGACACACTTCGATTTATATAACGTAATCAAATGCTAAAGCTGAAAAAATGATTCTATTGAGGAGCTGGTTCGATCCAGATATGTTTGGAATCTTATCATCCACGTGGGCGTCCAGTAAAAATTTATCTTCATGGATGTCTACCCTTTCTCTGTCATAGACGTAACCACCTTTTCGTGTATATTCTCCATGGCCCTAACTTGCAAGTTGAAGATGGGATCTTGTTGAAAGAGATTTTCCAGGATGGATTCTAAACATTCAGTCAACATTGGATCTTTTTTGGGGGCAAACAATGTTTTTCTTACCATATATGTAAATGGAACACTTGAGGATGCATACTTACAAACCATAAACCAAGAAATACGAGATGAAAAAGTCAATCTTAGTCGCTCTTCAGAACTGTGAGTTGTCCCCAAAAAGAGCCTAACCTTTCTTAGTCAAACTAATTTTTCGGGTTACTGTATACTAATAGTATTAAGGATGAGAAGAAATTGAAATATTGTTTATAACTTAGCGTCTAATCGTATCTGATGCAACAAATATGTTCTAGATTGATTTTTACTCCTATACCCCTGAAAAATAGCCTTCATAGTTTGATTTGAAAATGGCTTTTCCAATTTTACCATAACCTTTCCAAAAGACAATGCTTGGGTCCGTTTGATTGCAAAGATAGAATTAAATTGAATTGAAAACGAATTTCAGAAAATTGAATTGCCTAAAAATTATTTTTCTGGGAATTGTAAATTATTGTGTTTGATTGGTATAATTTTTCATGTGAAAAATGTTGAAATAAAAGTAGTTTTTACTGTTCGTTTGACTTTGTTTTATATGAAAATTGTCAATTAAAGGGATAGATTTTACTGGTATTGGGGATGAAATTTGTTTCTATTGCAAAAATAATAATAATAAAATAAAAAATAAAACCCAAGAAAATCATCTATCTTTTGGTGTTCGTTTGACTTTATTTTACATGAAAATTGTCAATTAAGGGAAATATTTTTTTTACTATAATTCTTAGAATTTGTTACCATAGCCAAAAAAAAAAAAAACTAATACAGTTACCGGAATTGGAATTCTCCAATTCAAAGAAAATGTGGAATTCAGTTTAGGCGGCAAAAAAAGTGGAAAATGAATTCTAGGTAAAAAAAATGCTATCAATACAAAAGTGGGAGTTGGAATTCAATTTCCATTTTCTTGGGAAAATTTTGGCTTATCAAACGTACCTTTAAAGATACATCAAGCTACTGACACAATGTTTCCTCATCATTCTTCGTCATATGTGGTTTGAAAAGTTTTAGGAGAACATTTTCCCGTTAGGGGCCCCTTCAAGTTGAAGTTTGCAGTTTCACCTCTTGAAGGTCTAAATGTATTTCTATTGTCTTTACTGGCCTGACTTTTGTCACAGAATTTAAAATATCACATAAAATATATATGCTCCTGAAGATTTCTCATTTGTCTAGTTCCTGTATTTGATGTCATCTTCCAGGGAATAAGCACAGGCCTATTTGGATGTTATCTACTGGGGAAGAAAAATAAAATAAAATTTTGTTCATTGTAGTGTCTATTTGTGTCCGATACCACCGGTCTAAGGGATTGATAGACAAAATTTTTGAAAACAATATGCGAATTCGTTTAGCCACAATGTTCGGTTCATTGCTAAATCCACTGAAAGATCTAAAGCAACAGTTAGATCATTTACAACTGCAATCGACCATATTTATTTTGGTCTTCTTCTTTCTCTTCTAACTTTATCCATCAAGGATATACGTCATTCTTGTTATCAAGAACCTTTGTCCTTTAAACTTATCCTAGAAAAGGTGAATGTTTAAAAGGAGAAATAGTTGAAGATAACAAATTGAACAAAAGAGATGGATTCTTTATGCATCTTATTTGTGTGACAGAACAGTAGTTATTCAGAATATACAAGGATAAATTATTCTTGTATCTTTATATATTCTACTCCTTGTAAAGTCATTTTCATCAAAATAGGAGGGAGCTAAAATGAGTATTTCTGGAACTGCCATTTGCTTTTGCTTTTGTTTGATTGAGCAAAGAAAAGTAATGCTATTCATATTCAACAACTACTAGTAGTCATCATATGTGGCAAGTAATTATTTGATGGATTAGTTTTCTGTGTTTTTGTTGCCTTAAATAACAAACTAATGCCTCAAAAAACAGCATTTGCATAGGGTGACTATTGGCAGTCACCGATTATGAATAGTATTATCTAACAAAGAGTAATCAGTTCTTCAGGTGTCTTATATTTATGACAACTCCATATTTAAATAAGGAAATTTTGATCCTGTAACTAGGGATATTTTCGAAACACTCTATTTTATCGGCATGTTTTTCACGAAGTATGAGAAACATAAATTCCAACCAAGGTTAGAATGATTAATGATATCAGCCCAATAATTAATTACACGGCCTTTACTATCAATTTTTTCGCTGAGAAACCCAAATCGTGTCTCAATAGTTTGCTAGGATTCTCAACAATCATTTGTCACGATGTCAGAAAATTATTATTGACACATAGACATACGGATCATGTAATGTTATTCACAGAAAGGAATCTGCATACAAAATAGCTTTTTAAATCAGTGAAAACGGCTTATCATCAATTGAGATTTGTTACAGAATTCTTTGGTATAGAAGCTAAATTTTCGCATCTCTTCTTTTACTCAGAAGGGGTACTATTCATAGAGCTGGATGAGAAAGTGAGCAACGAGGACCCACTTGCCATTGACAAGGTCCCATCTCCCACACGACAATGCAACTACATGCTTCTTGCGCAGCTCGTACTTAATTAGACCAACTTGTCATTTATTTGATTTTCTGAGGGGGATTAGGTGGAAGTCGTTCAACACATGCCATAGTAAGTAGGTTTGGACGAGAACACAGTTTGATGTTGGGTAATTGTCTCAAAAGTTAAAAGTTGAAGGACTTTAATTGCAAATAATAAAATGTAGTTATTGTATGGAAGATTTCTAATTAAAGTTGAGAGCATAATTCTTGCAAAATT